CCCATCCCTGCAGTGCCTGCGCATTTCAGGAGCTCAGTGTGAGGTCGGATGACTTCTCTCTCTCTCCCTCTCTCTCCTTCTTCTCTCAGGTTTTTGACATAGGGCGCGTGTGCTCACCAGGGAGAGAAACAGAGACAGAGAGAGCAAAAGCAAGAAATCACCCCCCAGGGGATGGCCACACCGTAATCCCTTCTCCTCTATTCTCCTCCCGGGATTGGGCATGCATGCACACGTGCCTGGTATGAGTTTAGGCCACTGGGTTTGGGACTCAAACCGCGGTTGACTACATGGGAGTCCAGTGATGTAACCATTATGCCACCTGCTGCTCCTGGTCTCATTTATTCTTAAAAAGAGACACCACCCCTGCACCCTCACCCAGGATGCACCAGCTGCCAGCCAAGCGTGGTCTGGCCCTGCTCGCTCGCGGCAGCCTGATGTGACCACAGCCCCCTCGGCGTCCACGGGGGAGGTTCCAGGGCCCTGCAATGTGACCACAGCTCCCTCAGTATCCACGGGGGAAGTCCTAGGGCCCTACAGTGTGACCACAGCCCCCTTGGTGTCCACGGGGGAGGCTCCGGGGCCCTGTGGTGTGACCACAGCCCCCTCGACATCCATGGGGGAGGCTCCAGGGCCCTACAGATACTCAGATCCCAGAAGTCCAAGCTCCTTATGGGAACCGGCCCCACCGCATGCCGCCTGTGTAATCGCCCGTACACTTTAAACCACTTCAAGTCACTTATGGCACCTAACAGTGCGGACGCTGTGGAAGCAGCTGCCCCACTGCTCTGACCAGGGAATGACGCTGGACGACAGCGTGCCCCAGCACCGACGTAGCCACTGTGACCGAACGCCGTTGCCGCCATCCTGGACGGCCAAATCCACCCTGGGGCACCGCGGACTCCCGGGCTGACTGCTTTCCTCTTACGTCAAAGAACCGTACCCCCAAAATGTTTATTGCCGTCCTGGTGCTCACAGATGGGGCTGGGATGTCCGTCCTCCCACTCCCACCTGCTCTGCTCCCCCAACCTCGCCCCAGTCTTCCCTGGCTCAGTGACGGAGCTCGGTCCCCACCCCATCCCAGCCTCCCCTGGCTCGGTGACAGGGAGCTCTGTCCCCACCCCATCCCAGCCTCCCCTGGCGTGGTGACAGAGCTCTGCTCCCTGCCCCAGCCTCCCCTGGCTCGGTGGGATGAAGGAGCAGGTCGGACCAGAGGGAGGTTCTGAGCTCCACACAGGGCAGAGTCGCTTGCCGAGCCATCCTGGGAGGAGTGAGCAGAGGGCAGCTTTCTGGGTCAGCTTCTGTCAAACAAATTAATTCCTAGGGGCAGGCGGGTGACTCAGGTGAGGTGACAGGTGGCCCCACCTGGACGTGGCTTTGCTGGAGCAGAGCACCGTCCCTGCGGCCATGTCTGGCCGGGGGGGTGGCCGCAGCTGTGTGGGAAGGAGGAGGGACACACGGCTTCCTCCCGGCTTCAGGAGGTGGCTCCGGAGGGCCCAGCGTTAGGGTGAGGACTTGCCCAACGAGGCCCCTTTTCTATGCAGTAAGCCCTTATTTTACCTTTCTGAGGTTTATTCTCTTTAAAACGAGCAGCGACTGGGAAATGGGCTGGATTTTGTCGAAGATCTACCCCTCTTTCTTAGCGGCTGCCAACAATCAACGGAAGGGTTTGCTGCTTATTCAGGTTTTCTTCTCTTTAATTTTAAACTTTTTTTTTTAGCCAAGCTGTGGTTTCATTTGCTACTTCCAATAAAAATTTCATGTTGGTGGGCAGTGAAGGGGCTGCTCTGTGAGGCAGTCCCAGGAAGGTAAGTTGCAGGGTGAGGAGGCCTCCCTGGGTACGTGGGCCGAGCAGGTGCTGTGGTCGGGGCCCTGCTGTCGGGGGGGTGGCGGTGTACGGTCTCTCGCTCACTCATGGAATAAACACATACACTTAAAAATTAGTTTTGGCTGATTATAAATGTGCTACAACCATTGTTCTGAGAAAAGTTTTGAAAACATGGAAAACAGCGACAGCATTTCTTCAGACCCCTCACTTGCTGTCCACTCCCGTGTCGCCCCTGTCGTCCCATGGCCCCGCCCATGCGTCAAGCTGTGTATTATAGGCCACGCGAGACCATGAACTGCACGAGCACCTGCCTCCAGGTCAGAGCCCAGGAGGTGCCCGGGGTGCAGAGAGGACTGTCCACCATGGGCTTCTGAAGGATGGCAGCTTGAATTTTTTAACAAGCTTTTCATGTATTTAATTTTGTTCGTCAATGCTCAGCCTGATTTAATTTCAGTTACTAAAGTTTACTTACTTCTCTCAGGAGAGGGGAGTCTCTGCGCTGTGATCCGCCTCGGCGTTCGGCCGCCCAGACTGCGGGCACGCCGGAACACCCGCTGTGCTCGGGAGGGCGGGCCACAAACCAGAACTTTCTCTCTGCAGGCCCAGTTGTTACCACCTGGGCCCTGGTTTCATTTTAGCTCCACAAATCATTCCATATATAGTCAATTATCTTTTCATTAATTGCTTTATAGTTTCTTTTTTTTACACATTCATGAATGCCCAGCATACCTTTCAAGTTGCCAAGTGTGGGACTTGAACTGCAGAGTTGGTCATTTGGGATCCAATAGCTGTAACTACCATGCCACCTGCTGGCCTGCTAAGTAGTTCTTGCATTTCATCATTTTTCTTTCTGAACTCACTTGCATAAAGGAGATCTGTGTATAGATGCATTACCAAACTCCAAGACCACGCCAGTAATTACCATTGCTTCAAGGAGGATTCTTGTGTGCCCTTGAGAATGGTCCAGGATAATGTCCCCTCACCTTATACTGGTTTCACTTTCTCAGAGGATCTGACTCTCTCGCCCTTGGAAGAAGGCACGGTTGGGCTGGCGTGTGACAGTTGAGGACCCGGGTCTGTGGACTTGCTCCGTACAGGGCCAGTATCAAACGCTGTGGGGTCTGCAAGGTCGAAGTAGCTCCAGAGCAGCGTGGGTGGCTTAGAAGCAAATGCGCACGTCACCTCCCCAAGGAACTTCACTTACAGTGAAGGGAGGCGCGGCCTCGGGTCACAGTTGTGTAAGGTGACTTCATTATTTGGACGGGGTACTGAAGGCTTTCTGCACGTCAGGTACCAGCAGGCGCCTCTCTGCCCACTGGCCTCTGGCCACACACAGCTTTTCTAGTGAAGTGACCCTGCCACGTCCTTCTGGAAACCTCCCTTATATGCCACAGAGGATTCCCATGCAAGTGGCTTCTTCCAGAACTGCAGGCAAGCTTGGCGAGGGGGCGGGGCAGTGAGGCAGGCAGGGGACAGGGCAGTGGAGGGCGAGGGTGCAGCAGGGGCCAACTGGAGCTGGAGTCCCCCAGGCATATTCAAGGAGTCAGTGTGACATGGGCTTCAGAGCCAGCTCACAGGAGGGTGAGGGAGCTGGGGTATGTATATGTCAGCCCCAGTGAGTCACTGGTGCCAGCACTTCTTGGATGGGGGTGTGTTAATTCCTCTCTGCTTTTGTCTTGTGCTGGTGAGAAGAGGGGGTTGGATGCAAGACAAAACTCTCAGACAAAAACATGTGGGTGCTTAAGGTGTTAGACAGGCAGGTGTGCTGAGTGATAAGGTAAGATTATGCTAGAGGGGTACTGACAGCGCCTGCTCCAGCCCACCCCCACGCTGGGCTGACATCCCCACCACAGCGTGGCTCTTGGAGGTCACGTGGCCCCACCAGAACCAGCGTGTGGCAATGAGACCCGTGCCAAAGCTCCTGGAAATGACGCAGGTGCTTTTCCTGGCGTGGAAGCGTGATATTGGGTGGGAGCATCAGCTGCTGTGTTGGCATCATGAGTAGGTCAAGGGGAAGCGGGAGGCAGGTAGAACGGGGTCCTGGTGACAGTGTGAGTCCGGACTAGGGGGACAGGAGCCAGTATGATTCCTGGACTGGGAGTCACACAAGTCGTGTGCAACCCACAAAGTGCTAACACATACATTTCCCAGTGTGGTAGCAATCATGACTGCCCTTTCCCAAGCTTAACAGGAATTGATTTCGGACCGGCCAAGCCAGGCTTCACATGCGGGAGGAGTCTATCTGGGCCTCTGGGAGTACCTGCTCTTGGACTCTCACACGCTGCACGAGTGGGGTGGCCTGGGAACAGCCCTGACAGGGCACACTGTGGACGCGGGCCGACAGGGACGTCCAGTCCTGGTCCCTTCTCTTCTCTGTCTCCCTTGCTGATTTCTAGCATGGCAGGGTCTTGCCAGAAGTGAGCTAGGCAGGCTGGGTGTGCTGCCTTGCACCTCTGGTCTCATTCTATCTGCGTCATTGATGGGAGCCTGGCCGCTCCCACAGCGAGGCTCGGGTGCTGGCTCCCCACTTTCCATCCTTCTCTGTCCCACGTTTCCCTGCCCCCTTGCAATCTGGGGAGCCATGAGCTGCCCTCTGACCACCAGGAAGAGGACGAGAGTGCCAGTGTCACTAGGCCACTGCTTACGAGCTTGCAGGTGACCTGCAAACTGTCTTCTTTTTTTTTTTTTTTCCCCACAGCGACTGAGGAGACCATGTGTTCCTGATGTCATAGATACGAGATGGCCATGCCCCGTCAGTCTGGGTCCCTGGGGGCTGCAGCGAATTGAGCGCCTCCCATTTAAGCCATGTAGTGAGTATGAACAGGAGTAACTTCAGGTACGTGGGATTGGGGTCGTCTGTTGCATGGCATAGCCTAATTCATTCTGACTCATACGCGGTGGCCCAGAGAGTCCGTAAAAGAGGAACAGAAAAAGGAACTGGCAGAGACCCTGAAGGGGCAGGTAAGTAACGCATTTGGTGTGGGGGTGTGGCCACTATCGTAACCACGTGAGGAGGATGATGAGTTGAGAAAGACAGGCCCAATAAGACGCGGCGTGGGGGAGAAGGGAGGTTTGGAAGGAACTCTGTGAACACTTGCCGCGAACGCCCTGGGGAAGACAAGAAGACGCAGAGGAAATCAGGCAGCGCAGGCAGGAGCGGCCGTGACACGCTTACCATAGCCAGGGGGACGATGCTGACCAGGTCCTTCTGGCTGACGAAGATCTCGGACACCGCGATGTCCGTGGTCCCCTTCCGTGGGTACTCGACCTGCCACGTGACGGGCTGAGTCCCCGAGAGGCTGCTGAAGCTGGCAATTTCAAAGTTCATCTGCACAACCTCATTGAACACGCTGCTGCTCCTGGAAAGGAGAGAAAGGGAACAGCTGTGAGTGGACCACCCAAGGGCTCTCCCCAGGGCTGGTGTGCGCGTGGGCCAGGGACTCTCTTGCGCTTTAGACAGCTGGGGCTGGACAGTGCCCATGGCTAAGGACCTGGCAAAGCAAATTAAAGGCTGAGCACAGGTGAGTGACAGTGGCGAGACCCTGGTGTGGTTGTGCCAGACGTTCGGACGGTGTGTTAACCCAGTCCGCCTCCTACCTGAGTGTGGACCTAGATGAACTTTGAACTAAGGAGCCCCCATGTTAAGTATCGGTGTGGCAGATGCTGCAGGCAGCCCCCCCACTCGGCATCACTATCCACCTCACCAGCTTGGTCTGGGCGAGCCGAGAGGACAGAGCTCTGTTCCCAGGATCCCTTGCAGCTATGTGCAGGCTTGAACAGAGCTTCAGTCAGAGTCACTCAGGAGGCACTTAGACGTACAGGGCTCTGACACATCGGCTGGGAGGAGAGCTGGGATTTCCTGTAAGCACAGTGGTTGTGGGTCCCCTGGGGCAGCCACGGGGTGCCCACATCCTGGCCCCTGGTCACTAAGCAGCTGGCAGCGGTGTTCCGACAACATTGTCTGCAGAGGTGGGATATTTATCTCGGTGTTTACCCCTGGCTGGTCTGTCCTTGGGTGTCAGTAAATGAACTCAGGCCACTGCTGCCCTGGAGGGTCTCTGAATTGCCCGCTATCTTTTAATGAGACTTTTCTGCTTGGAGGGATTACTCAGCAGAGGGACTCCGCGGCTTGCCTAAGAATTCTGACCGACCGGTACATGCGCAAGGGCCCTGGTAGCAGGTGTCTAGTCAGCTCACCCTCGCCAGCTCTGGGAACTCCTGACTGTCCGCACTTTCCATCTGCAGGTGACAGGACCGATGCTCACAGAGCTAACTGGTGGCAGAGTCAAACACGTTACAGCCTCCTCCCCCGGACAGTCAGTGGTCAAATGTAATGTCACAGAGCACCAGAGTCCTTGAGGGCAGGGGACAGCAAACTGTCCCTGATCCCAATCCAGGAAGCTGCCTCTTTTCATTAGCAGCGTTCTGCTGGGGGGACAGCCCGCGTATTTGCATTTTGTCCACACTCGCACTCGTGGTACGAGAGAGGTGCTTCCCTTTACTGGGGCGCTGATCTGACACGGATGCGCCTCCTCTTCAGGGTTGGCTCAGCGGCATGATGCTGACTCTCCGCCCGCCACCATCAGCCCTGCTCAGTGGCAGAGGCAAAGGCCACAGAAGGAGACACACCGAACGAAGCACGGGGATGCGAATCTTCGTAAGTTCTCTGGGCCAGAAGTGGAGCCCAGGGAACTGTGACTCTGGTTGCTCTGGGAGGGAAAGTGTTAAGGCCTGGATCACCCAGCCGTGGGCTGCAAGCTTTAAGAGAGAATTACTGGCTCTGGAGGATGAGGGAGAGGTGTCTGCAGTGTCCCAAGATAAGAGATAAGCTCTTGGTCCAACAGCCAAGGCCCAAGTTGAATTGCTCTATGTAACTCAGTGTCTGGGAAGTCCTTCCAGCACATTCTGCCCAACTGCATCACCCCTCACTGGCCAGAGACGCGCCTTGACTCCTGTCCTTTCTGCAAGGGCACGTGGGTCTGGCATCTCCTCTCTCCAGCAGAGCTGGGTACTGGCTGGGCCACTGGCCATTGTCCCTCAGCTGCTGGGTCCCACACTGATTCCATGTGGCAAACAATCCACTTTCCTTAGTTCTGGACATGGTAGTCATCCAGCTGCCCCGACCCCACCTTGGCCCCCAAGCATGCCTCAGTGCCATGGGCTGCAGAGCCCTGCAGGCTCGGACCGACCCCCGTGTGCAGGCCCTTACACAGCTCTTCCCCAGCATCGCATGGCAGCAGCCCACACCCTCTGTCTGGACCCAGTGGCACCTAAAATATGGAAATAATGGTGTTCCACTGCATGTGGAGGGAGCTGGCCCAGAGGCGGCCGGCCCGACTCCTGCTGCAGACGTGTCCTCTCCACTACAACACCGCTAAGCGGAGGGCGCGAGGTGGGCAGGTTGCAGCACAGAGCAGAAGCAGCGGTCCTCCCCTCTCCGGCTTTGATGGCTTTGCCAGCGGTGTTATCTGCCTACGTGTTCTGCTCGAGTTAGCATAAGAATGAGACTAACCTGCCCCTGTTTATGAAATGCTCACCACAAGCCAGACACCGCCCGGGGGCGTGCATGCATTATTCCAAATCCCATAAGCCCTCAGGCGGTTACTCAGGCTCCCACTTCGCAGAGGTGAGAGCAGAGACTCCCTAACCCTCTGCAGTCAGGGACTGAATCTCCTTGGGCCTCCAGGATGGATGGACACGACAGCGATCCAGTTCTGGACATGGCAGAAGAGGCCCACCGAACAGGGCCCTGCAGCTTTCTGCAGTCCCACTGTGTGTGAGCTACCTGGGCTTAATCCTGGCTTCAGAACGGGACAAAGCAACAGAGTTCACGGCTGGAGTAAACGTCAGCTTTCGCTCACGCTGGGAGTGTGTGCCGCGCCGGTCAGCGGGTGTGGGCGAGGCCGCTGGTCTGTTCAGAACATCGACGTCAGTTTCCCAGTGGCTGGAGTCCTCAGCCCTCAGAGAGGAAGAAACTGCCCACAGGGACCTTGGGAAGCTGTGTTGGAGAACGGGCGAGATGGGCAGACTCCACTGAGAAATGGGCCCCGGAGGCCTCGGTTAAACGTCCTGCCTGCAGACAGAGTTCCACGGGAGGATGAAGAGCCGACTCCCGTCTGTCCATTGCTTTGTTCTCACCCTTTTACCCTCTTCATCCTTGTACAGCCCTTAGCTTCCCCACCTCTGAGAACACGCATATTGACGTGTGCCACAGTAAAGGGGGTGGACGTTTCTTTTGAAACTGGATGCTTCTGTGGAATGAGCAGAGTGGTCTGGTGGCACTGGGGCCCCCTGCTCTGTCTTAGGGTCATCCCGCGTGGTTCCTGCTGCCAGCGGCCCTACGGGAAGGCAGCCTGGTGGTGCCACACAGTGGAAGACTTTCCTAGAGAGCTGGGAATCTGGGCTTATCTATAAAGTCCCTACAGCCAGGATGGAGCTTGAACCACACCTTGGCTGGAGCTTTTTGCTACCTCTGGCTCAGGGGGTCGGTCCTCCTCCTCCTCGTGTCTCTGTCCTGGAGGAAGCATTCTATAGATGAGCTGTGATGCTGAGGTGCCCACACTTGGTGTGTTGGAGGGCTCCTGCTGTGGTCCCCAGGATCCCTGCTCCAAGCAGGTGGACAGTGGTGGCCATGGAACTGCACACCCAACACACCCTGCTTCAACAGGGACAGCTCCAAGCAGGTGTGCTGGCAACTCTGAGCTCCTAAGAAGCATTTTATTTAGAGAATGAAAAATAAAGGAAGAAATTAAGAGATATGATGAGGAAAGGAGAAAGGAGGGGAGGAAAATGTGGGAAAGAGAAGGAGGGAGGAAGGAATTAGAGGTTAGAGCCAAGACTACAATCCTTTGCTCTTTAAGGGGACGCAGCAAGTGTTAGGACCATGCTGTGAGCCTGCAGGCCTGGCCTCCCAGTCACTGCTGAGTGGTTGTGGGCTGCTCAGCCTCGGTGCCCCGTTTGAGAGGTGGGTGCTCATCCCTCCCACTTCGCAGGGTTGATATGAGGACTAGCGATACAAATGGCACTGTCTACAGCACGTGGATTAGAGGCTGGCCCTAACAAGCATGCATGCTCAGGGACTTAGAGCTGACTGACTAAAGCCACCATCAAGAAATATCCCTTTGGGACCAGCAGATGGTGTCACAGTTATGTGTCTAGACTCCCACGTAGTGGACTGTGGTTTGAGTCCAGCCTCGTTGACTTTAAACCCATGCCAGGCGTGTGTGTGCGTGCCCAAAACCCCAAGAGGAGGAAGGAGGAGAAGGGGTTGCAGCGTGGCCCTCTCCTCGGGTTGGGGGGTGAACTCACTTTCTGTCTCTGTCTCACCAGAGAGTGCACATGCCCTATAACAAAAATCTCAAATACCCTTTAAGGATGACTCAGGAGTTCTCTGAGAACAAGCCACAGTAGAGAAGTGAAGTCTCAGCTGTTCACGGGGACCCGGGATTCATTCAGAACCGAACACTGCCTTGACTCCGTGACTGTCTCCGTCGGCCACGATGCCACGGTGCACATTATTCTGACAGGTGGAGATTCAGAAAGGAATCTGTTGCAATTCTGTCTGTGGTCAGGACCTCTGCATTGTCTCTGCGTAGACTTATGTCTTTGCTAAGCTTTGGCCTCGAAGGGACCAAGAGCCCTCCACACTAATTAATACGGGGCTTGTGATGTTGGAGTGGTGAAGAGAGGAATTTAAACACTAAAGCAACTCCAGAGAACACCCAAGAACCATCTCTTGCTAAATCAATAGTGGAGATGTATTGCAGTAACTCTTGAAAGAAATGTTAAAAATTGGCTTAAAAAGCTCTTACTCAAAAGCAAATCAACTTCCCCCAACAGTTACAATAAAGTTTGAACCACTGGAAACCTAATTTACCAAACCTCTTGGCGATTGGATTTTATCTGGTAAGAAAATGGAGTCAGGGGTGAGGGCGTCATTAAAAAGCCAACAGGGTTTTACATCCTCATCATGGGGGTAAGGGATTTTAGCTCCAGAGTCAGCCACGGCTGGCAGCTTAGTGCCTGCAGAAAGACGAGGCTAACAAAATGAAGAAATCAACCTTATAATTAGGAAGCCGCTCCACAAGAACAGAATTATTTGACCCAGGCTTTGTTTTATTCATTCTACTTTAAGCAAATTTCACGAAAGTAAGGATACATCCTTCCCTTCCGGGAAAGGCTTTATTAGAAAGTTCCACCGACCCCAACTGCGATGGTAGTGCCCCAGGCTCGCTGGGAGCTCTCCGTGGTGCTGAGGAATATCAATTTGAACTGTGAGTTGCAAGCAACAGAAAGCATTGATAAAGATTGACAAAGAGAAGGGACTGGAACAAATACTTCCAAATTACTGGGAGAATGG